TATATATATATATATATATATACGCCCGCTTTATGTTTTGCTTCTCCGTTCAGTTCTCAGCCTTCTGTACTCCCTCTGTGCTATTTCGTAAACTTCAGCCTTTTGGTTGAAGCCGTTGGCCCGAAGCTTTTCCGCCGCTTTTACCTCCGCAGACAACACATCTCGCACTACCCGAGCCAAACCTGTGCGCAAGAGCATGCAGAGGGTGGTGCTAAATAAAGTTGCGCATAATACGCTTCTGAGCAGCTGCACAGCCAGACCAGGTGTGGACTTGTGGAGCGCACTAACACGCGGAGCAATCCTGAAAGTAATACAACCAGTGCGTTATATGTGGATCCACCAATAATGCCAAGCGCCCTTGAAGACGATGCATTACTTCGTACGCATCACGCGCCGTATGCTACAAATGCTGCGAGTTGTTTGTGCTATAAAATACAGACAGGTATACGTGGGGCAGAATGCAAGGTAATACACATATTATTTGCTGTTTTCATTGTGCATACACCAGATGTACATGCTCTAGCCGATGCCTTTTTCAGTAATACTACAAATTTGCACTTAGAGATACTAACTACGGATGACTCCCTTTCCGTGTGCAACAAGAAAACTAAGCGCATTTGCCAATGCTGTCTGAAACACAGACCCAGGGGAGGAAGCGGCTGCTCTTCAAGGCGACGGCCGATGTAAGACTCCACGCGGTGTACCGGTGCAACATCTGTTGGGTCCTATGTAGCAAAAACACACGCGAAACCATACGGAGCACACACATAAGAAGAATTTTCCAGAATACGTGAATTCGAAATCGGCATTTGACGCACATGGAAGCATATGGCCTCTGCTGAGGATGAAGCGACAGTTCCATAGAAAACGGAGAACGCCCCACAGCCCGACGAAGATACAAGAAGAACCATATTGTAAAGTTGCTTGGGAGCACCAAAGATGCTCGCATTTGGATTCACGGGGGGCCCTTAGCCGTCGTAACTGCTACACGCATATCCAAGAACTCACAACAAATGTTATGGCCAACCCTTTTCTTCCCGCCCTGGCAGTTCTGCCAACTCGGTGTACGTACACCTCCGGCTCCTTCGGAGGCTGAAGATTTACTACGAAGTCTAAGTTGGGGAGGTCCAGTCCTCGAGCTGCCACATCTGTTGCTACCAATATTCGTTTGTGCTGGCTTCGAAATGCTTTTAGAGCAGCAACCCGTTGGTGCTGGTGTAGCAACGAATGAATGCAAACGCAGTCCACCCCCAGCTGTTGCAAAGCCGTCGCAAGCTGCTGTGTCTTCCTCACAGAACCACTAAATATGATGCCCCTTTGCGAAGCAAATGGCTCCTGCTGCAGCAGATGTAGTACATATACCCCGCGCATTGCAGCCGGAACAAATATATACCTGTGCTGCAGCAAGGGCGGACATTTTGCTGCTTTTTCAGGCAGCAGCAGGGGCATTCGGGAATCGCCGAATTGTTGCTGCAGCTGTAGCAACGCGGGGCTGGTGCTGGCAGAGAGCAGCAGCGTCTGTCTCCCAGCTGAAGACGCCGGCAGCGACGACAGCAGCAAACGCAAATCAGGGCCAAACTCTTCATTCAAAAGCCGATCAGCTTCGTCTAGTACTAAACAATCGACTGCCTGCAACCGCTCGTGAATCGGTCCTCGTGACCAGCGAGGAGGCACCTTAGCACTGCCTGCGACGTCACAGCTCCTGTGGCTGGTATTATTGGCGCTGTTGTCCTCATGTTTATTGCCGGATGCGTCTAGCGTTGCTGATGCTGCTGCTGCTTCGGCTGCTGCAAGGCCTCTCTCACGATGCAGCAAGTCTGACAGCCGCCCCGGGGTGGCGAGAACGACGTGTGGAGCTTGCTGCTGCAGCGCCTCTGCCTCGAGCATCATGTCTCTTCCTCCCGTAACCTCGACCCACCTAAGACCTAGATGCTGTCCGTACACACCAAACTGCTCTCCTACTTGAGAGACAAGTTCGCGCGCCGGTAGCAGCACGATAGACATAAACGTGTGTCCCATCCCCTGTTGGATACGCTGGAGCAACGGCAATAAATAGCAAAGAGTTTTGCCAGTACCAGTGGGGGCTATGGCGCAGAAGTCATGGCCGGAAAGGCCCAAAGGCAGAGAGCAGCGTTGAACCGGTGTTGGCTCCAACAGGGAAAGGTGGTGTAAAACGGAGCAAAGGGAGGCACACACGCCAAGTGAGCTAAAGGTGACATCTTCAGCGTCCCGTCCTAAGCGTGCTCCTTGTGGTTCCCGTTGGAGAGTCTCCATTTGCACTTGCTGATGCTGCTGCTGTTCCTCTCGGGATGCTGCAGAAACTTCATCTTTGGATCCTAGTGGAGTTTTCTTCGAGTCCATAGCCTCCTTTGCCCGTGCCCCATTCAACGGACTCGCTGCCCCAGTAAAGACATCAGAAACACCCAAAGACTCACTATGAACTACTTTTACCTTACGTTTCGAGTGCCTAAGGGCCCCCACTGCCGTCGCAGAGACTTGGGGCCGAAGGCGCCTCGAGAGGGTCATGGAGTACGCCAACAAGGAATAAAAACTAAAAAAATACCGAGTGCAGGGGCAGTACGGCTGTAGAAAGAACAGAAAATGTAGTTGGAGTAATGTATCCAGTGAAAGTGGGGAAGGCAAGTGCCCGATTCGAGCAGCAGGAGTCGGCAAAAGCTGAGTTGTTACCGAATTGAGGCGTCTAGCTTGAGATTAATAACGCTCTCAGGCACAGCATTTTGATATTTGCAAATTGTAATTCATAATATTTGCCTGGCATTCCTGACTATTGGGCTGGAGTTGCCTAGGGTTGCCTCGGGACCCTTTGGCTTTTTGAGCCGCCTTGGGGGGCCTCCGGTGGAGAATGTATTAGCACAACTACGCTCGCCACTAGGCGTCCTGGAGTTTCGTGATACGCACCATTGAAAGGCGTAAGAAATACTCTATATATACACGCGTAGTGGTGTGCCAATTCACACCCAGTTATGTGAATGCACTGGATTGCGTACCAAACGTTTTCAAGGGTTTTTTGGATGTGCGTCCGTTGCGGAGGCAAATTAACCACTGGTGGCTCAGCGCTGGTTAAATGCTACGGGCGATTGTATGCTTATTTGGCTAGCGCTCGTAGAGGCTGCGCTCGTAATAGAAGCCTCTTCTCCCAATCGGCTTGCAATAGCCAATAGACACACCCGTTCGATGCGTTCATGCACTTTCAACAGGGCCTCCCAGCAGTAGATTAGGCAGTCAAGCCTTGTCCGCGCAGAACGAGACTTTGAAATTTGAAGAGCACTTTGTTCATACTAACTGCAGTCAAGGCAGTACAAACCTGGCGTCTGCGCGCACATCAGGGCTCCACATTAATACGCCATATAGGTTTATAGCACGTGTTGCTGATACCTATTTCATCAATATGCCATCTGCAGTGGTTATGACGGAGCGAAGCGCTCCCCGCAGTACAAATGGCGGAGCAGTGTCCAAGATTAGTAGCCTCTGGTCGATAGAAGAAGGTAGATTAAGAGAACACAGCAAAATGGATCCGTAACTTCGGGAAAAGGATTGGTTCTGAGGGCTGGGTGTATAGCGCCATGTAAGGCTCCACAGGCCTTTCAAGTACAACAAAAGGAGCGCCAGCTGTTTGTACTCCATTGAACTGCAGCTTCCTGCGCACTCCAGTTGGCACCATTAGTGACCCCTTCTTAATCCATCCTTGTGAAGTGTCTGAGCTTCTAATTCCAGCAGAGCAGCCCCTGACTGCTGTACGTGATTCTACTTGTACGAAGATGGCTGACGTTTCAGCGTCACCTGCTCAAGACAGAGTTCAATGAATCCGACTTTCTGGCAAGTGTCAGAGTCATGCAGCCGCTCTATAGCCACCAGACTGTGCTCAGCTCATCAGTTGTAGCCTCGTCCGCTTAGTGCGTCGTCTGCGTTCACTGCGTCTTCGTAAAATTCAGTTCTTCGCCTTCTTCAACCCCAGAGGATGCCCAGACGATGCCATCACCTTCACAATATGGTAATGCGCCCGAAAACATTACAACTGCAGAACCACAGGAACAGAATGCTCAGGCTGCCGCGGTCGTATCCTTTGCGAAGGTTGCTGCGTAGTATGTAGCTGGGTTATCCAACAACCTCTATTCGCATTCCGCTTGTCACATCAGCACCATTGCTTGTCATTCCCCTGCCTTTTTTCGTAGTTCATCTCCGCGGCTTCCTCCAGACTTAGGTGGCATTGTTCGTACGAGGCTTCCATTCGTGTGTGGCGGGAAGGACAGGCGTGTTCTCCTTCAGTACTTCGCTGAAACAGCTGTAAAATTCTCAATGGCCTGGGTGGCAGCTAACACCATATTATGCTCGGAGTTACTCCGCCTAACATCTCAGCTTCCCGACACCGAGGGAGGCGAAGGGCTTGTAGCTCCTTGGAAGAAAAAATTAGCACTGGAATTCACAAGTAATAAGGTCCAGCTGTGCTGCTGAACTGCAAAGTTTTGCAAGTTTGCCGTTGTCCTTTGGTTGAATATGCTCCTACGCCGGCGTATTCTGCAGTCATCTGACATTCTTGCTTGGGCTTCGAATAAGAGCGTTTGCAGGTATTCTTGCGGTTTATCCCTGGCATCCTGTAGGAAAGTGTCCTTTATCACATATAGATGGGTTTGGAATGGCGGTAAACTGTACCAATGGTTTTTTGCAAGGTCTCGTTGCCTGCGTCGCGCGCATGAGTTATTATGGGGCCCAGCTGAGCTAGGTACTTGCTCGCCTCCAGCATGCTTTACAGGATCACAGTAGGCATCGAATATGCCTCAAATCCTCATGCGTCTTCAGATAGGTAGTTTTCGTGAAGTTCGGATACGCTCGCGCACTGCTGTCGAATTTTGATTTGGTGAGCACTCACACTCCTCCTGCGTGGCGCTGCATTTGTTGCACCAGCTCCACTGGAGAGGGGCAGAAGTTCTTAGGAGTGCTGCTGAACCGGAAGCGGCAAGTGAGTCACTCCTAGCGTCAGCTTGTGACGCAGCGCCACAACACATCTGAACATCGCAAGTGCCCCTCGATGCCCAAGTGATTCGTTTACGTGTGCCAGGGCTCTGGGTTTTCAGTATCTCGCTGTGGCATGGGAAGATTGCCACTGTTTTCGCCGCACCTTGAGGAGAGCAAGTGCATGGCAGAACCTGCGCACAGGGTTGTCCGCACCTGCAATCCCGAGGACACTCTGGAGTGTGTGTAGTATGGCATCCTGAGAAAGCGGAACTGCTTTTCCTTGGAGATTTCGTAGATTACAGGCGTCATCCGCCTGTGTGACGCGTGTCAGTTGTGCCTTCACCTAGGACACCTGCCCGCATCACTCAGAATAAATTGTTGGACTAGTTCAACGCTTCTTCGACAGTGTAGCTGCATGAGCCTCTGTCGAATTAGTGGAGTCCACGCAGTTATACGGCGTTCAGTGCAAATGTCTGCCCAACATGTTCTGGGTCTTTCTTTGCTCCTACAAGATCGTCGTACGACGACAAAAGTCATGTATATTTCGGCGTGTAGCAAAGGATCGTCTCCATTTGAGCCTTAAGGGTACCCATCTTTTTCTTCCTGGCCTTTGCTGCAGTGTATACCTTCTGCCCGCCGAGGTCTTTGTGAAGACTCCGTTCTATATTGCCATTGTTAGAGTCGTACTGCGGGCGCGCGGACGCTTGCCGACTTGTAGTGCGGTGTTATTAAGATCGTCCTATGCATCAGTTCTCTTGTTCCTAAATTTTAATGGCGGCAATCATTCACATTTAGTCAAGCAGACGTATGGTGGCATGTAGTTGTGCCGCCATCTGTGATAATGCTTGTGAGATGCTCACTAAGAAGTGCATGCGCTGGCTCGCGATGTTGGGAAAGGCGGCTAAAATAGCCGGCAAAAAGAGTCAGACCCCGAAACAGAATATACCTGGCAGTACCGCCTGCGGGTTTTGGCTTGTCGACTATCTTGAGGGGGCTGCGGAGAGGCTACTGTTGGTGGGACCCTGCTGGACTCCTGTCTGTTAAGCGCCGTTGTAGTGAGCAGTTAGAAGGGGCGAAGTAACTCTGAGCCGCACGAATACTGCAAACAAGAATTTGATAACGACACCCTCACGAAATTCAACGAACACAAAACCGAAAGACTTTTAGAGGTGGCGTGCCGAAGCTGACGAGAGCCGTGGGCAACCCACAGACGCGAGACTATCCCTCAAGAAACTTACGTGAAATGCGCGTTGTCAGTTATATCAGTTGTATGGTGCCACGCAGGATTCGCGATTTTGGTGGACGCAGGACCTACACAACGCAGCAGACTGCGCAGTCATGAAGAAACGGATGAAGCGGACTGCTACACTTGCCGTCGTAACTTCAAACCCTGTAAAAAAGAATCTTTCCGTATGCGTGCAAATAAATATCCCATTTCCAGAGGAGCTGGAAACACGAGGTGGAATTATTCCCCAACCTTGTGCCAGCCGTAAGTTCGGGCATACATCATCCGTATGAAGTTTGCGCCACCAACGCGTCTTTGTTCTTAATTACTGTAACGACGATTTGCTCCCAGGAACCAAGTAAAGTGCAAAAAAGTAAGAACCTTAATAATCAATCATGCGAAAGCAGCTACTCCCCCCTCTTCCCTCCAAGCTCTACGTCTCAGGCACTTAGCACTGAATGGATGGGAGACGAAGCCAGCCTGGGCAGCCTTGCAACACCCCCCAGTGCAGAATACTTGCTCATAAAGGCTAAACGTCCTCTACAATATGTTGGGGCAAACGGATTAATTTCACTGTTTCTGCTATCCGTCTGCGTCCCTGTCTCCTAACTGCACGCCTAAGCCACATGTGCTCTTACAGTGCTTGCCTCGAGTACGCTGCACGCAAAAGGAAGAATTGAGGGGCCTCAGAACTCCCTGTCTAAGCATCTGGTTGGGCCATATAAACGGCACCCGACCACTTGCAGCTGAAACCACTGCACGCTGAGAACAGCGGCGCTTGCCCGTGTACGCGAAGCATCAGACGTACTGAAAATATTTTGATAGTTGCAGTGTGTCTATTGTTTCCTTTGCTTGTATATATTCTTGCCCCAGCCGCTTTGACCTATCCACTGTGGTGGGCTATTCGACTCGCCGAGGCGCTCATTTGAAAGTTCCACAAAATCCAACGAGGCAGAACCCCAGACACACAGGTTGACGGCTTCAGGGGAAATACCGATGCAAATACACAACTCCAAAACCATCTTGTTAAATAAAATACGAGCAGCCAAGTAGTTACGGCATTCCAACAGCCAAGCGCCAGCAGCTTTGCCGCAGCGGCTGAATCCTCAAACAATCTGCCTACATACTAACGACTGCAGGCGTTGCCGCTTCCGCTGCTGTAGCAGCAACGCTTCCCATCAGTGGTGCTGCAGCACCTCCTGGTACTGTTACAATACATGGTGAGAATGGTGTTACAACAAATACTGCCGTGTATCTCATTGTGTGTGGACCAAGTCGGTCTTTTTGGCTGCAGCTGAAGGTGTTGGGGTGTCAGGTTTGAGGTTTTTCCGCAGCAACTCAGGCAGGCAAGAATCGTCATCTCCCCCAAACAGTTTTCTTCTCGGTCCGCGCTTTGAGTTGTTCCCATTTCTATCATCATCATCATCATCATTATCATCATCATCATCATCAGCAGCATTGCCTTTGCCATTCCTTTTTTTCTTGCCCTTTCCACCATTCTTTCCAGCGTCAGTAGGTTCTTTGTCGTCACCATTAGACCCTTCTGTGTCCTTGATACTCTGTTTCCGTTGCTGCATGCTGTGTCCGTCTGCTGCAGCGTCCTTGTCGCTAGTGCTGCCCTTTTCATCGCGGACGTTTCTATCTCCACTGATTGCTGTCGGGATTCTCCTGAGGTCCCCGGAAGCCCTTTCCACACCGGGCTCTTCCTGCCCCACAGTATTCACCTTCGTAGGGAGAGCGTTTATGTATGCAGCCAGTTGAGCATCGGGCGGGAACGGCCTTGTGCCCAAGCAATCCTGGAGATCCGCAAATGTTAGAGTCTCCTTCTCAAGAAGCAACGCACTCAAGGCATTCATTTCCTGGTTAAAATTTGCACATACACACGCTCAGATTCGCTTCGCGTACGCACTCACGACACGGTGGGAAGAACAGACGCGGGCACAAACCTGGCAAAAGATATAAGACGCAGCAAACTCAGCAACACAACAAAACCAAACTCTGTGCATTCCTTGAAGACACAGCAGGTCCTTGCCTTTTCTTTTTCCTTTAGGAGAGCCTTCACTCGCTCGTACTGATTGCTAATCAAATTGCGAACTTCATCATCCACAAGCTGCACACATAAACAAGTGTGGGATGCATGTGCGTTTCCACTCGTTAATAAACTTTGCGGTGTTCAGAGCTTGTTACGAGGAGGACGGTATGGCTGAATCTACTGACACGTTCAATACATCTGCGTATGCTCACATCACCCTACATATACACACGTATACGAAAATACAGGTGTTCAACGAACCTACAAGACACAGAAAAAGGTATAGGGACCCAACCAAAGAGCTGCACAGTAAACCGTTTTAACTCGGCGCAGCAGCCCATACACCCACGCAACCAAGCAAGCAAACACATGCACACACTCCGAGACCTAAATATACAAGCTCTGCGCAACATAGGTATAAACTTTCCTGTCCACAAGAAAAACTTATGTAAACAAAGCCGCGGTTTTCTCATTACGCGTATCTTGTAGTATGCCAGCGATAGCTGAGATGCTTCCGTGGGCTCACCTGCGCTGTGGCATCTGAGAAAAGCTGATAAGGATCCTGCGGGCTTTGTCGAGTTCGCTTCAAGTTGACCAAGCCGATTTTCGGGTTCATTCCTAGTTGCATAATTATTAAACGGGCAAGGTGAGTAGCCTTTTCAATGTCATCAACGGCACCTAGGAATAGAAGGCGTGAAGAGAAACATGACAAAAGCTTTGGACTCAGCAGACGCGTTTTACCAGCACGGTGTAGCTTTTGAATTAATGATGAGACGAGCCAGTACAGTCAATCAAAGACCCGCAGGTTGTCACTTGAGGTTTGTTGCTGAGTTACAGCCTCGTGTAGCATTCTCCTCGGCACAGCGTCAACCAACATTTCAGAGGAAGCCCAAGCGAGGATGCCCTATGACATCTCCAAGCCCCTCTCGTCTCACCGCTGGATATGCATCCCATAAAAAGCTCCTCAGCCGCTCTCCCAGCAAGACAGACGGCAATCCTGTCTAAGAGGGCATCCTTCTCATAAAGCTCCACTGGAGGCGGCATCTGCTGACTAAATCCCATGGCTCCGCTGTCTCTGGGGATGACCGTCAACTTGAGCACTACGTCTACTCAAGAGCAGAAAAACAAAAGCCTGCAAGCTTCACGCGAATTGACGCGCACTCAGATACGCCCATGCACTCTTGTGGAAGGGAAGAGATAGGCGAAAAGAACATAGCTGATGTAGCAAACGCGGAAGAAACGCCTACGGAGACAGATATTTGTTATGAACAAGAAAATGCTTGCCCAAACGAAGGCTACCAAAGATGATGAACAGACAAAAATACAAGAGTGCGTGGATGTGTGCAGATAATGGCTGAAGCATTGATACCCATGCAAGCCAGCGCAGGTGCATCACTGAGAAGGGAAGCCAAAAAAAGTACAGGATGTTCCAAAGACCCCACCCCACCTGCGTGCTTCAAGAACCATCCAGCCACAGCGTGTCCTGCCTCGTGAAGTGCAATCGTCTTTTTCTGCTTTTCTGACATGAGATTTTTAGTGTTGGAGGGTAAACCCGCGATAATCCGCTCAACGGCCAACTCAAAATCCTGCGCCCAAATACTTGACCTATATCCATATTTACAAACCTAGGCATTTTCTATTTGACGGTGCATGCCATTCTGTCTGCCTGTCTTGCTGCAGTATTCGTATCTCATGCTTGGAATTGTGCAGTTATGGTGGGCAATCTGTACCCGCTGCTCAATGCCTCGTTTTGTTCGCCTCCTCGCTGCGTATATTGCCGCCTCATTGCAGATATTTGCGATATCGGCGCCAACCTTAACAGGAAAAACTCACGTGCCAATCTTAATGTGCAAAGAAAAGCAAAACGGCCAATGAAATGGAAGACAAATAGAATACGCATGAAGAAATCAGGCAAGACTGCGATAATGAACCGTACACAAACGCCGAATCTAAACAAATCCAAACACCGAGGTGATCATTTGCGTCTCCGCAAAATACGCCAGACAAATATGTACATATCTACTTTGACAGTATATGTACACAGCCACGCACACACGGGCAGATGGGTGCACGGATACTGATCAACATAAAGTACACTCTAAGAGACTTCCCTGCTGCGGACCTGGATCTGCACGTTAAGTATACCAATTCGAATATGCAAGACGTGGCCAGCGTCCATCCATGTACATGCACCCTTATGCGTGAAGCAGACAGACGCGGAGACGGGCACAAAAACATAGAGAAACGGCCGAACAGACAGACAACGAAAGACATGGATGAAAAGGAATGAACGATGACGACCGTATGAGGGAGGGACTGCAGGAAAAAGACGAGACGAATAAGGGACACGGAGAATGAGACAGGGGACCAGCGAGAAACAGCACCAAAAGCAAGGAAGCTTGCGGAAACAGAAAGGAGACCGCCAACGAAACGAATGAAAACAGTACTTACCATGCCCGGAGTGAGTGCAGCCATTCTCTCCGCAAGCGCATTTGCATCGACCCTAGGAGACAACCTTAACGGCTGGAGGTGGACCTGTGAAGGCAGGAAACAAAAGAAGAAATCCTTTCCCAATGAAATAATTTCCGCTCTCCATGCGACTCCCCTCCTGCGCTTGACCTGTTTGTTAACGTTGCAAGAATTCGAGACGAGCCAGCCTGCGATTCCCCCTGTTTGTCTGTTTTTCGCAGTTGCAGTAATTCCTTCTTTCCATGAAAAAAAAAGAGAAAGACACAGAAACACCGAACGAGAACGAATTCCGAAGCGACAAAGTGGTATGCTACGCACCTTAAATATCTCTGCCCTCTCCTTAACGTCTGGCCTGTTGATAACCACCCTACGATCGAACCGTCCAGCTCGCTTCAGTGCGGCATCTAGAAGGTCCTCTCTATTTGTGCCTGTCGGAAATATAAAAGGGACCAAGGAATACCATGGCTTGCCTCACTTTCTTTTACTGACGCTCAAAGAAAAGAACCAGCGGAAAACACGTTCATGTGCAAGGCAGGTGCTTGCCCGTGCAACGAAGGGGAAATGGTGTTCAGTGCAGCCCCAGCATTGCACTGGACACGCCTACAAACTTCATTCTAGGCGCCTGTCCATGTTGGTGTAACGATGCACTTTGGTGTACGCACAACACAGAAATGGATATAGCTGAGCGTGCCACTGCATTCATAAAGGTGCATGCAATCGTATTTATTGGCATATTAATGCATACGCGCATGCATCCACATACACTTGCAGGAAGTGCACGCGTGCTAGAGGGTATCAATGCATACGCCTTGCAGCGACTTCCCATTTGCACAAGTGTAAAGACGCATTGCTCTCATCACTGATTTCGCACCAGACAGGATATGCATGTCTACAGCGATATTCACAGACTAGTGGGGAGACGAATCAAAAGCCATCGGGTCCATCAGCCTCCATAACACCTGTGCACTGTAGGAGATAAATATATAAACGCCCACAAAACCCCACTACAAATGCACATCTGTAGTGTGCACTTGTGGCAAAAACAAGACCTGTCAATTACCTGCCAAGACGACAACCGACTCATGCGGTGAAAAACCATCCATCTCCACAAGCAGCTGATTCAGGGTTTGTTCCCTTTCGCTATTCGCGAACTGCGTGCTGCGGCTGGCACCGACGCTATCTATTTCGTCTATCCATATGATGGCTGCAAACGGCATACCCACACAGAAACAAACGGAAAGCCTGCGGCAACAATATGGCTCTGCATGCTTGAGGCGATCTCCAGCATCAGGCTACAGCTACACAAATGAGAGGCCAAAAACCTTTATCCTAATCCCTGAACCGTAAACGAACAAGGCGCTGCCTTCCTGGCTTCATCAAAAAGTTCCCGGACTCTCGATGCTCCAACTCCCACAAACAACTCGACGAAATCCGAGCCGCTAATGGAAAAAAATGGAACTCCAGCCTCTCCTGCAACTGCCTATGCACCCCAAAAAGCAACAGGAATAAAAGCAACACAGCACAATCGAACAAAGAATTTCAAAGAACGAAAAATCCACTCGACACTCCTCGGCGAGCAAGACACCTTTTAAGACAAGACACCTTTTAAGCTTCAACCCTACATTTCCTTGACAACGGCAACCATCTACGAGCTGCTCAGTCCAGTGGTAAGTGGCTTGCTTGCCTTAGCGAGCAACGTTTTGCCGGTACCAGGGGGTCCAACTAATAAAGCTCCCTTCGGCAGCTTCGCACCCATTTTCTGAAATGCTGCGGGGTTTTTGAGGAAGGAAACAAACTCTGTAATTTCTCGCTTGGCCTCATGCAAACCTGAGTGGCAAGTTCCATCAAGCAACTCAAACATGCGTGCACCTCAGTGCTCCCTGCACTCTAACTCCCCCTACATAACCTTGGCCATCCTGAATGCTCTTGGACTAGCCACGTACCCGCAACGTCAGCGAAACGAACTTTCACCTGCCCACAAAGACCCGCATTACACTTCACTGCACAGGCCTTAACTGAACCTCAGAGCCCCAAACCCTCTCCCGAACCCAAAGTTCGGAGGCCCCGACCCCCCGACTGGTGGCCACTTACTGTGTCTGGCTTAATGCGAGCTCTCTTAGAGCTACTATTGCCCAACAGACGGTTCAGACCGCTTGCACTCCCGCCTCTGCAGAGGAAACGCTACACCCTAAGCCCTAAACCATGGAACGGTGATAAAGAGCTGGTAGCCTTTACACTATTTGTCAGCACGGTCCTTTAGCTAGCATTCTGCTCCTCCCCGTAGTATATACTTTTGCTTTGTATCAAGAAACATATGTCATAGGGTTTGTTTTGTACCGGTTGACAGCTCCTCCCATAAGGAAATCTCTGGCTATGGTGGCCATGATTAAAAAGAAGAACGCGGAGGCGAGCAAATCCCCAAGACTAAAATTCCATCCCTCTTCGACGTAAATAGGGAGAAAGTCTTTCGGGTGTATTCCGAGCGACGCCTGGTAGCAACAGTACCAGCAGTAGCACAGGCCGCAGCAGCAGGGCCAAAACATACGGCAACAGCCGCAGTAAGGAACATCATAAGAACGCAGCACCAATGCATTCCCTGGAAGCCCGTAGGAGCGAAAAAACTCAGGGTTGGGGCTCTAGTTCACCTGGAAGTGCTCCATTTTTTCAATGAAGCTTTCGGGTGTAAGGCCCGTCTTGAACCTGACAATCTGTTTCTTAGGCAGCATGTCCGTCAGCTTGGGCTGCTGCAGTGGCGGTAGCGACGAAAACTGGTGTTGCTGCTGAAGGTGCTGCTGCATACTGTAAGGCTGTTGTTGCTGCTGGTATGGCGGCATGGCCATTGCCTCCTGCAACTGCAGCTGTTGTTGCATTTGCTGCTGCTGCTGCGTGTACAGCACCATTTGATACTGCATTTGCTGCTCCATCGCCTGCAGCTGTTCTGGTGTCGGGGAAGCTCTTACAATAGCAGTGCATCGGCCCCTCTCCCCAACAACAACGACCTTCTCTACCAAGCCTCGAGCGACATACAAACTAAGAAACTCCTGCAAAGCCACGCAAACAACCAGCATGCATAGTAGGACTAGTGTTGCACCCGCAACAGCAGCAGAAACATGATGGGCTCAAGTAGGCGAAGCGTTCTCAGAACCAACCTGCAGTGACAGCTGAGGCTCCACGACTCTCGACAGCAACGACAAAGCAAAAACCCAGATGCCCAACCAGATGCACATACGCAGCAGCAGATGCTGCAGGGCCCCGCCGGTTAGAGGAACAAATGGCAGCCGGCCGCTGCCGTTGTTGTTACTGCTGCTACTGCCTTCTCTCCGTTTCAAGGCATCCTTAGGATAAAAAGCTTCGAACCCCAGGGGCACCCGCCTTGTGCTATTTCCAGGGGCTGCTGACTTTCCTGGACCACGAGGACCCCTGGTGCTGTTCCCTCCGCCATCGTTTCCAGTGCTGCTGGTACTGTTAATTCCCTTGTTGCTACTACTCTTGCCACTGTCTTCCCCTTTGCTGTTGCGGTCGCCTGCGTTGGCGTTTCCATCAGGCTGCCCGCTGCTGCCGCTACTAGTGCTGCTATCTTCATGCGATTCTCCCTGCGTACCGCGACTGCTGAGAGCAAATAGGTCTCGAGAGAAAAGTTGCAGCAGTGCGCTTGCTGCTGGGTGCTGGCCTGCTGCGGCTGCAGCTGTATGCAGCTGCCGCAGCAGGAGTGAGAGCACGGCGTTCAAGACGTTGGCAGGAAGTTCAGCTGCTGAAAGCAGCGAATGTTCTGTCACCTTATGCAACAGCTGCCGCATCCCATATTGTTGTTGCTGGTGGAGCAGCAATTCGCGTTGAAGAGCTACCTTCACCTGTTGGTGCCGTTGCTGCAGCTCTTGCGCTTGCTGCTGCTGCAACAGCCAAATGTTCTGTTGTCGTAGCCCTTCGTGAGCATCACTGCATGGTAAAGTGAATGCGTAAACACTTTGTTCTGCCACAGTCCTCTTGCTCCTGCTGGGGCTGTTGCTAATAAGCAACCTACCATTGCAGGTATGGAAGGAGGTAGTGAAGCGAGGCAGTAGCCGCTGCCCCTGCTGCTGTTGAAGCTCACGCCGTTGCCACACCTGTGCATAAATGGAACTACGAGGAGTTCCTACTGTTGTTTTTACTGCGGCTGCAGCCGCTGCTGCAGCTGCTGTTGCTGCCTCGGCCTCAGCGATTTGGGTCCAGCGTGTGCGCCAAGACGGCTGCAGGAATTGTTCAGAATACAAGGTACGGCACACCACAGAAGTTGTTGAAAAACCCTCAGGAAAACGCAAGACGGGTCGTGCGCCTCGCTGCAGCAGCAGCAAATGTGCTGCTGCTGCCTGCATGCCGGCTCCGCTGTAGCTTCTGAAGCCAGTGCACGCAGCAACTATAAGCGCGCCAGGGTGCTCCTTCCACTGATGCCCCCAGTGATGCTCACATGTGACAACGGCCCCTTACGGGTAACAGCTCCTGCCAGCCTAGCTCACGCGCCGGCCGCTGCTCGTGCTGTCTCAAGCGGTACAACGCCACCCCTCAAGGGTACGCTACTCCTACTCGATATGCCCCACAACGAGAAAGAATATCCGACTTAAGGATGCAACAACCAGAACAGCCCTATATGCCGGTCATCGAGAGCACCAGCAGGAGCAGCCAGCAGCGGCACCAGCAACCAACCTTCGGTGTCTGTCAGCAGCAACAAAGGTACCCTGGCCCCCAATAAATAGAGGATTTCTCAGAAAATGAGTGTTGGCGCAATTACTACTACTGTTACACTGAAGTTAGTGGCTGAAGGCTACAGTTGACCGAAGAACCTGGGGACTGAGGGGCTGCCATTTGCGGCTACTGGAAGCCAAACTCCTCTCGTGTAAAGGATGCGCCTCAGCCGCGAACAGTAGGTTGGTCCAATTAGCTGATTTTGCAGTGCATCTACAGTCTACTATGGCAGAAAAGAATGGCATTTTCCCCTCTTCAGCACGACTAACTGCCATGCAAATCTGCCGAGACAGTACGTCTGTGTGTAGAGTCGGTTCATCAGTTGCAACACTCCCGCAGAAGGAATTCTGCAGTCTTTTTTGGCAATAGCTGTGCTTTTGTATAACTCACTTACGGTGCTTTTGTGCAACTCATCTGCGGTGCTTTTGTACAACACAGCTACGGTGCTTTTTTTTACAACGCACTTGGTGTACCCTTCAGCCTGCTGTGCACCTTTCGAGCAGGGCTTGACTCGTGTTTGGGGAGCATGTGCCCTGTCTGAAGCTGGTACGTGTATTTCAAGTTGAGTGCAGGCCTGCTACCGCGGGCCAAGCTACTGTTGAGCAATACAGTGTTAGTGCGCGCTTCAAGGGGGGGCGTAGACACACGTGGATCTGGTGTTGTCTTGCAGAGGGAGTTGCAGTAAGGTGCGTTCCCACGCTTGTCAGGTTGCCTGCCCTCCGCACCAGCTCCAGGCTTTTGGGGTGCTGTTCCCAGGAGGCTAGAGGAGAAGTTAGCTGCATTCTGGGGAGTCGGAGGTTAGCCCTTTCCTTCTAGCGCAACCCACAGTGGCCCTCGTGTAAGACCAAGGAGTCTTGCCATAGTTCATCGTGTTGTGTTGTTCTTTGGCCGCGGGCGCAAGCAGGGAACACCGTACCTACGGCTGGAGGGCCTGGTACATAGCATACTTGGTGGGGACGGCACTTTGCGAAGGGGAGCCGTCGAAAATTTTCCCCAGGACCACTGGGGGAAGTTGTTCCGGTTTCCTCCTTCTGCATAGTGGTGCTTTGTCAGGGGTTTCCCTCTGCTGCTATCGAGGCGAGCAACAGCTGGGCGCTTCGTCACATTGAAAAGAGCGCACACCATCGCACCCAAGCAAAACATCTTTTGAGCGGGGAGGATTAATGAATGCGTGCGCCTTTGCTGACCGTCCAGATATGGCAGGCACCGCCATGAGGCCCCAGCATCGCTATGCACGTCATATCTGGACACATGTGAAAGTTCCTTGGTTCTGTGGAGTTTTTCCTCCGCGTCCAAAGTGAACCGGAAAAGCTACAGGTGCTGTTGCCACGTTCGGCCCGTAGTTGAGAGAACTCCGCGAAGCGGCGAGAAGAGTTTTTCCTTGCTTGACTTTCACAGCGGCAAAACCTCCTGAGTGAGTAAATTAAGCTTCTAGGTCGATCATGGATACTTCTATAGAGGTTTCCCACCCCGCCACCCTAGAAGAATCCACGGGTAGGGAAAGTGGGCAGTTACGTCTTAGCTGGGTCGGATGTCTCTTCGTCAGCATTACTGTGCTCAATTCTAAGGAAAATTATGGTTGGTCCAGAGGATTTAGAGTGAGACGCCCCGCCAAGTTCCAGCATAGCTCGGGCGTCTCAGCGCACTGCCGTGTTCGAGTTGGTGGCGCCCCGGGCCCGAGCTCGAGTACAAAAATGCAGAAGATGGCGAGGCACTTCCTCCAGGGAACCTTGGTCCAACTCACGCGGCAGCCATATTCCCACTCCCCGTTTCGCACGGGAAATGGGAATGTTAATAGAACGGTTCCACATGAGGGTTGCAGGTCGAGGCGCGGGAGCTGGAGGCTCCCTAATCAAGGAGCATTGCCCCACACCATTAGAAGCCATTGAGATGCTGTCATTCTGAACAGTCCTAGTTGTGGGCATGCTACTGCAGCTGCATCCCTTGTGTATGCGTGCAGGGGTGACCTGCGAGGGTCTGCACGGACGAGCTGAACCCCTGTAAGCTCATGCTCATCCGAGTCTATTTCGAGGCTTAGGTGTGGGAATGGGTTGGCGCTCCTTCCCCTGCTAGAGCAGCGAGGTCACGGCCTGATCAATACTTCAAGGATTGGTTGCCGCGTGAGTTGGACCTAGGTTTCCTGGACGAAGTGTCTCGCCATCTGTTGCGTTTTTGTAGTCGCATTTTTCCATTCCTAAGCAGCACTCCTTCACCGAGCGCCGGGTGCTGGGCGACTTTCTGGAGTGCGACTATCCGCGCCCCTTGGCTCTGTGGACCCGGTACGTCTTGGCTTCCCCTGTTGCATCATGTGAAGTGGAATGTGGGTTCTATCAAGCGCATGCGCGTATCTGAAGCGTACAGAAAGTTCCTGGGATTGCGATGCGGCTCACGGTGGTTTCGATCTCGACGGTTGTCTCAGGGATTTATCAACGTTGGTTTCGATGTCGACGGCTGTCCCAAGGATTTATCAACGGTCCGGCTATTTCACTCGGTTCATGTTCAGGCTCATGCCGCAAGATCCGCGGTTTTTCCGTTGCACGGATGACGTCTTTGGCTTCCACATGACTGCCGAGGAGCTCAGCCATGTTCTGAAGGATGCTGGGCTCCCAGTCAAAGTTGCCAAGATAGTTGATTCTTCTGGCGGACGAGTTCCTGCAGTAGGAGTGAACATCTCGCCTGCAAGCGGTGAGTGTGTTATTGCACCTCGTTGCAGGTAGGTACTGCGGACGCAGGACGTAATGCGCTCTTTCAACCAGCGCCTCTCCAAACGGAACATTTTTTTGGCCGGGTTCATTCAGTTTCTTGCTCCTTTCATTCCAGCTGCCGCTTTCCTATGCGAGCTATACCCCGCTACGTGCAACAAGGAAAGGGAAGAATGGGCAGACTGGTCACCACCGTTCGAGTTACCGTGGCCATTCCGTTTGCCAGTCCCGCTCTTTACGTCTACTCTGACACTTCCGAAGAAGGATGCGATCTTGCTGTAACGGCCGGCCACTCTCCCTGCTTTCAACTAGCGTGAGTTCGTGACACTCCATCTTGGAGGGAGGCAGTTGGTGTAAAGTGGGAATTGAAACGATTGGCGTGGGCTGAGAGGCGCTTAGAAGGTGTCTCAGCAATATGTTGGTATACGGATAATTTGCCAGTAGTTCAAGGACTAACCAATAAAAGGTTTAGTGCTTAGGCTCCTGCTGATAGGCTTGCCTTGCAGCAAGCCGGGCAGTATGTGCATGGTGCTGGAGACCCAGCTGATCCGGCCTCACGCCTACTTTCTACTAACAACACGCATGCCCTGCTCCGGACGAAATACCTGTCTTTCTTTCGGACGGGATCCCATGATACCTAAAAAAATCATAAGAAACGCAAAAGACTCCCCTTCCAACTAGGCATCGCACCACGCCGCATGTCGCACCACTCGTGTGAGTGTGCTGGCACGGATGCGATGGCTACCTCGCTTCCGGAGTTCCCTCACCTATTTTATTAGCAGGCTAGTCAAGAGAATAGCGGCTTGATGTAAGCAAGGGTGCCACTTTTCTGGAACACATCCGGAGAATGGAAGCCTTCCGGCGTGCGCCGCAGTGCATCTCTATTCCCAGGTAGTCAAGAAAAAAGTGCCCTGCCAGAAGAAAATGTAAAAAATGGAAGGTGTTGATAGGCCGCTACATCGAGAAATATGAGTCGTTTGTCGTTGGTGAACAAAAGTCCAACGGTGGAGTCAGAGCTTTGATATCGAGGATTCATACATAGGGCCTGTTCTTTACAGGGACGCGATCAGCTATGCAGTAGGGAGAGAGTCGAAGGGCAAGCGGGCGGGATACGTTTAAATGGTGGAACACAACAACGAGGATGAAACGGCAGTTCCACCTCCCTTGCGGAAACTGATTGGGGTACTGGGCCCATGAGTGTTGAGTCAGTTCTCTCAATGCCAACCTATTGGTGCTGCCCCAGTTCTTTTTGGTGCTGCTGCAGCTCCTGTGCTCCAGCTGCAAACTCCGGCGGCTTGTTTGTTGTGGCTGTGGAGCGATTTGCGGGAACCGCTCCCATCCAAGAGGCAGCCAGGAATGCCTTTGAAAAGACGGAAAATGACGAAGAAGGAGAAGATAAGAGGGAACGAACTGAGAAAGCGTATGCGACCACCAGCAGCAAGCAAAGCTGGGATGAAAGGACAGCCCAGTGCAGCACAGCAGCAGCTTTATTCAGAGCTGATATTTGCACACTGCGAGCAGCCACTAATCTTTTTAACCAGAATTTCTGCAAAATGCATGTTAGAATCGAGGCGAGGCAAGAACCGCAAGCTGCATTGCCACAGAGACAAGCCGCATGATCAAAAACGGAAAAGCTCTGGCGCGCCTCCCTAGCGTTTTTCTCTTCCTCCTGCTGCTCCCCTCCTGGTTCAGCTGTTCATGTCAATCTTATTGCCCTTTGTATTGATACTATTATTGCTGCTGCTGCCACCGCTAAATATTTATCAAACGCGCGCACGTTGGGCTGCAGGTAGGGGGCTCCGCATGTTTACCCATGGCCGGGCCTACAGGATCTGGTGCAGCTGGGTGAGGACCTGTTGTTGCTGTTGGTGTTGCTGATGAACGCTTGGCGCTAGCAGTGGCTTGCCACTGGTCATTGTGGCGTCCTTTGCCGAGCGCCTAGGTTCCTGTCGGTTGGAGCATGCATCACAACCGAAACAGAAATATGAAAGGTCCACCGCTGCCCAAAAGGTGGGGGCCTCAAGATAAAAGGAAGGTTGCCATGAGCGACGCCGATCTAGACGCAGGCAGAGGAAGGTACGTCGCGTACAGCGTCGAAATTTTTGGCTCCAGAAGGAAAAGATGTACAAAGATGTAGGCCCGTCGACCGACACAACAACACAAAGGTTTCTACGTGTCAACTCTACGCTGCGCTGTCCATGCCACCGCCTGTAGTGGCAGCTGCTGAGCCAAGGACGACGGACTGGTGCAAGGGAGATGTGTGCCGATTCCCCTATAGGTTGTGTAGTGAACAGCTGGCCTATGCTGTCACTACGATAGACCCCTAGGTTAGGCAGACTATGTGCACACACTATATCCAGACACCAAAATCTATGATTCTCGCTGCAACAACCAATAAACACAATTGACAATCAAATATATGATTGATTTCCTATTACTGTTCGGAAAGAAAACCCAGAATAATAGAACTGATGCCCGACCCTCGCCGAGGGCGTGGGCCAGGGTCACAGCAACAGCCTCGCACCCAGCCCCA